TCGACAATGTTAGTATTTTTCTAACAGCGTAACATTTACATTGGTTTTCTTACAGCATTCAAAGGTAGAACTTCGATCCTTTTTCATACAGACTAGTGTTTCTGATTCGATGAGCTCTTTACATTCCCTCGGCACAGCTAGGTCGAACGGATATTCTATCATCGATCTATCGAAATCGCTACACATCGATAATTGTCGTTCGCTTCTTACCGCGAGATCGCGCCCGGTTCAGTATGAGATTTGTGGTGGACAACGAATTGGCCCTGAGTCCTTCAGCTTCCCCCTGTCAGAACCATTCCACCGCCGTTCCATATTCACTCATGTATCATCTGGGGGATGGACAAAGGGTCCTTCAGACCCAGAAAAACTGCATCAGTAACTGGATCTCTTGAGACAGACGCTGGAGGTTAAACATCGCCACTGAACACGATCCAGAATCAACTACGCCAAGCTCCCAGCCTCACGACCTATTTTCCTAACATCTATCTTAATGTTATCCACCCATAAAGATTTCGGTCTTCTTTGGGCATTTCCTAACCAAAGAAATTTCTCAATGTATTAGACGACGTCGTACCGGTTACTTAGGTCATATTGGATCGGCATTTTCTCTGTGTAGGTAGATACTGTGCTCGGGTTGATCTCCCATGTACGAGTAATGTCTAAACAGATGAATATAATTTTAGAAGTATCGAACAGACCATGGGACCTAATCAGTAAAAGCTAACAAAGAATGTCATGTGACGTCGAAAATAAATGACGGACTGATTGGGGTTTGGTATTTTGGAAAGATATGTTAACAAGTGGTAACACCCTGCGGTTAATTCTGACAGTTGTCTGGTGGGCACGGAGAAAATCACGACAAACTTTACTTCGGAGAAGAGACCTCTTGGCCGAGACTCCAAATCAAAATTTCCGATTACCAAAAGGCGAGAAAATTTCGATATTAAAATACAATCGAAATCACTCATACCGCGTTTAATATTCAGACTCGTTAAATACAGACATTCATTTAAGCGTTGTTGTACGCTGGCTGTGTCAAAGTGATAACTCGCGTCTCCTTTCAAATAACCAGAGATAAAAACTCACCCAATCCCGAAGTTTTATTTTTCAGGGATGGGAAATTTATATTACTTCTCCCTTGCACTTTGAATTTCTACCCGTCAACTCCCGCGGCCGCTGGATTTTCCAGTTCTGTCAAGGCAAACACTGATAATTGCTTGTCAAACAAAAATGACGAAGACTTCTTTTAGAAATAGGACGAGGGAACCCAAGGGCGGTCCTGAGGGACCCAATTAGCTTTAGAAAATACTTCCACTTCTGAATATTGTTGTAGTAGTCCGCTGAGGACGAAGATCTCATGAACACTATCACCTTTCATAACCTGCAGTCCTTCACACTTTTAATACTTTTGTAATTCCCACCACAGAGATCGAATACCACAAAAACGCTACCAAACTTCCCCGTATGGAGAAGCTAAGTGAAGAATGTATATATTGTCTTCACCGTATCGGTTGGTACACCTCAGTTTACCAGAAATTATGCTGAAGTTCTATTTCCAGAAGTTTCAGAGACTCTTCTGTTCGCCTCCGATCAATTCCTCTCCCCACAAGCGCCTACATGGCGTGTAGCTGGACAGCCAAGGACGCTGCTTCATAAAAATGTACGGTTTTTAATCATGATTCAATAGTTTCGTTTGAAACATTCTTCGATCTAATAATACTTTATAAATACGTGTGAAATTGTTCTTAGACTTGTGTGTAAGATGTATTAATATATTTCACACATGAATTCTCAGATTAAGTCGAAGCAGGATCGCACAAGTCAATATTACACGTGAACGTAATTTATTTTATTAATCGTCGGTTCTCAAATAAGGATACTCGAGTGTATTTTGGATGTACAAACTGCCTTTTAAATTAAAATGATACTTTTATTGAAAGAGCTGTTTAATTTCACGGTCCCAGTGGCCATAAAATATAATATCCTTACACAGTTCATGAAATGGCTGCTACTCTGAGTATATATTTTGAACAAATATACGCTCATATGTTTATTTTTCCTACAGAAAGGATTTCTGTCTTTAGATGTACGACTTTGTAGAAAAGAGAGAGAGAGAAATGGGTGGGGGGGGGGGGGGGGGGGGGGGAGTCAGGCCGTTCATGTCAATAGATGCTCATCGCCTGCGACCCTTATTCCAAAACGTGAGTTTATTTTACCGTCGTATGTCTGAGGGAACAACGCGATCAGCGACGTTCCATTTCAAGTTCAAGCTTGTTTGCTTTTCCATCGGTCACGGAAAAATCTTCAGCCAGTGTCAAAACCATTTCCATGCTTTAAAACTTTCTCCTGCAAGGCCTGGAAGATTTTTGACTAAACCTGTTATCAATAAAACAGAAAGCAACAAGACTGAAATATTTCTCTCTGTTTCGGGGCCCGCACTTCTCTGATCTGAGGTTTCATCTTTAAGGAAGAAACATAAAATGCATACAGAATTTTGGTAAGGAGAACACTTGTAAAAAATGTCAATTGGGGAAACACAGGAAAATGCATTTTTGAGATTGTCAAATGGCGTAACACAACGACGAACATTTTTATGACAGCGGATGGATATTTGGGGTGCTGTCTGTCAGACGTTGAGCGATGCTGTCTGACGTCACTAAAGTCTCCCAACCAGGGGGCTAAATGCCAGGTAGAATCCGTCTTTACCTCCCTCAGCCCCCGAGGGTATCCTCGGCGACCTCTGAACACACTATCCCTCAAAGTGCGCCAAAAACTACAAAAAGATTATTTGAGTGAGAAAGAAAACATCCAGTGGCGGATTTATTTTAAAACATAAGAGAACTCAAGATATTTTCAGTATGACCGCCGTGAGAACATAAAATCCTACTGAAGTCCAGGTTCTTACAGCATACAATTATATTGAAGATTGCTGCCTTCTGGGACGCTGTCCCGTGTTCTCTTGGCAGAAACTTAGAAACGTTTCAGGGGTTCTTGCCGCCTCCATCGTCAGAGCGGAGAGACTGTAAGCGATTTACTAAATGACGTAAGAAAAGTCGATTATTTCACGTTCCGAATCGTAATTTTCAGTTTCAAGAGCCGATAACGATTTAAAATTATAATGAAATATCCTCGGATTTCAGCGCAAAATTCTATAGACCAACAACATTAACTTTTTAAAGTCAAAGTTTGCATTGAAGTGTTTATCTAATGATTCACTAAAGCTAGCATGAACATATTTGTTGCTAATACATTTATGCAACATCGGACATTAAATTAATAACGTTGTATTCATCGCCCTAACGATGGAGGCAGTATGACCTCTGAAACGTCGGTAAACGTCTACCAGATTACACGGTGCAACGACCCAGAAGAGAGCAATCTTCAATATAATTGTATGCTGCACTGTTGCGCTTATAAGGTATTTTTGTGATAAAAATTACACGGCAGTATAAATACCAACAGCAGACATTCAGGTAAACGTCTGTATCTTAACACACAGGAGATGATTTGATATCGCCAGATTTTCATGGCGGTATGCTGACACATGCTTTGGTCTTTAAAGAGTGATGGCACCGAAGATCTAAAAAAAAAAATGTTGGCAACCCTGCCAACAATAACAACGTGTCATCACCCACAAGCACCAGGAAATGAAATCTTTATTTTTTATGGTAAACAAAACAATTTTAGAATTTCAAGGTAGCTGTATTTTACGCTCAAAGCAAGATTTGCTGAGTTACTTTCAAAAAAAAAAGTAAAGAAATTTGTTTACAAAGCTAAGTTATCAAATCGCTAAAGATGTCAATAAATAGACGACAGCGTTCTCACCAAAATAATTCAGAAATGGACCAGCACAGAATTTAAGATTTCATTCAAAATCTCTCATCATATAATATGTCACATACAAGAAAGTCTCAAACAATTAACTCCATGGAAACGAGTCCTTTTTGAGAAGGTAGCAGTTTCTCAGCTACACATTCAAAATATTCACTCAATGTGACCATACCAAAATTTATAACAATTAATAATAACTGGAAGTTGTAAGATTTGAAGATGGTCGTCTTCTGGGTTGCCGCGGCGTGTAGTCTGGTAGACGTTTATCGACGTTTCAGAGGTCCTTGCTGACCATCATCATAGCCCTGAAATCCTCTAAACCGTAAGTAAACACCAGATACAAAAACGAGTATTCACTCTTACCGAGGTCTTCATTTACAAGAGGTCTACAATATTCTGTGCCTTGCTTAATATCT